TACGTGGACCGTTCGGGGGGGTTCCAGAGGGGGTGGGGGGGTCCCATGGTAAAAATCAAAATGTGGGGGGGGGGGTTCCAACGGTGGGGGGGTAGTCCCATGACAGAAATCGATTCTGAATCCACTATAAAAATCGTGCATTTTTGGGGATTTGAGAAGGATGGTCTGGGGGGGTTGCACAATCGAAAAGATTTAGGATTTGAGAGGGCCTGCGGAGGGTGGAAATGGAAATGCAACGGGGCCTCATAGCCCTTGCTGTGACAGTGGTGAATCCGCTGGATCTGTGCGCACGCCCCGTCAGTCGGGGCCGGCGGATTTGTGAGTGTTTTTTCCATTCCGCCAGGTTTCGGCGCGACCCACGCCAGTCTTGACCTCCGGTAATGCTGTGGAGATCAAGGCCTCCAAGCTCCAATGGCCGAGGTCTCAGTTGCTGTTTCAGGACTTGATACAAATTACGCACAACATGACCTTCTCCCCAGGCCAGACAAGACACTTTTGTTGGAGGAGGTCCTCATCCTGCCGCATCCTCCCTCGCGGTCGATTCCGCACGCTGCCCAGCAGGTGCAAATCTCGGTTGGCAAGGGCGAGATGCTGGTGGTCGTGGGGAAGACAGGACAGAAGACAGGGAAGAAAGGGAAGAGATTCGCGCATTTCTTCTTTGAAGAGAGGTGCTGGCAAATCTGGGTCTGCAGCCTCAGAGGGCACTGCCGTTGAGAGCTCTAAGATTTCTAAGATCAGAGCCGAGGCTGCTCTATGCGCTGCTGGGCGAGCTGCCCATTGCTGCCGAGGAGGGTAAGCAAGGGCCCCGGGCCCCTCAGAAAGCTCTTCGCAAAGTTCCGGCCCTGCTCGGCTGCTCGGCTGAGGACCTACTTGACGGGGACCGTGGGCTACTGCGCGCAGAGTGCTTGGGCCGGGCCCCAAAGCACAGGATGGATTCCAGCATGGGATCTGGGATGGACATGCCACTTGCACTGAGATCCGCAATGCGACGTTGCGTCACCTCCTCAAGTAGCTTGGGCAGTTGCCTGTGCAGTTGCCGCTCATGAATTAAGTCAAGTTCTTGCGTTGGTGCGGGAATTGTCCATGGCGGCATCTCCAATGTGTAGGCGACAATATCACCAACAATGCTTCGCTGGAAGCTGACGAGCGCTATGAGGTTCCCTACTGCAACAAGCTTTGTTTGACTGCAGATCTTGGCTTGGTCGCAGCCGTTGGCTGGCAGGAAACCCACCTAGCCAGGAACTGCCTTTGATCTGTGGCAGGCCTTCAACTCCAGGCCGTGAAGCCACTAACGAAGCTCAGGGCGATGACGCTTGCAATGTGCACAATGCTTACAATCCTTCTGGTTGCAGCTCTAGTCTCAGCAAAGCTTCAGCAAGACTCAGGCTGTTGACAGGAGAGGGTATGACATCACCTTGGCTTAGGCTGCAGACTACTCCATTCCTTTCCGGATGGGGATGGATTCGCCAGGCGGGAGCAAAGCGTAAACGCACAGACGAGCAGCTCCGAGCTCTCAGATCATTTCCACGATGTCTTCGATGAAGCGCTCCTCGAAGAAAGCTCCGAGGAGATGGCAGGCTTGGCAGGCAGAAAAATTGAGAAAGACATAGAGTCTTTAGACTGACACACTTTGCAGGCATTGACTTTGCACGGCCAACGGCCAGCGCCTTAAAAAGACGGCAACATTTCAGCTGCCAACTGTCCAGCACGATCAACTCTGAGGTAGCAGCAAGGGTTGAAGGCGTTGCGCTGCTGAAGGAGGCAATTAACCCTGATGTTACTGTCCGAGGTTGAGACTGAAAAGTTGCCAGGACCTAAAGTGGGTCTCGAGCACAATCCTGGCGGGCTTGTCCTGGATGCTGCTAAACCTCAAGGCCTGCGTCCAGCAATGTCCAGCATGCAGAAGTTTGCGATTGCTAGCCACACAGGCAATCCAGGCAGACATCCTGGCATGGGCGACCGCCTTTGTCAGCCTGGTGCCTGCTTCCAAGTGCTGGAAACCTGATGGTTGTACCATGTCTGGCAAGGCTTCAGATTGACGCGAGCCCTGTTGGCAGGCGCGGAGAAGGCTGGGGAAAGAAGCCTCAGAGAGTTCAAAAGAAACTTTTCAAGCTGCAAGGTGACGGCCAAAGTAGTGGAGGTGCGGGTGCCCCAGAGCTCTGCAGAAGCTTCGGGCTGCCAATTCTTTAAGGCTACGGACTCCGAAGCCGAAGAAGTCCCAGAGGATGAGGACCGGGACATCTCACAGCATCTCACAGAGCATCTCACAGAGCCTCACCGCTGTAGGCAAAAGCTGACGAGGCCGAGGAATGGCAGAGGCGCCAGAGCTGGGAGCAGCTGGGAGCAGCTGGGTTCTGCGAAGTGCGAAGTGCCAAGTGAAAGCCTACCGCGGTAGCGCCTAGCTACGCCTAGCTGGCTTTTGCAGGCTTGTGTCCACTGCCAAGAAGGATGAGCAAGCAGCTGAGGCTTAGGCAAACCCCCCCCCGCCTTCGAGAGAATCTAGCCTTGAAGTAAAGTTTAAAAGGACTAAGGTCTGCTTGTCTTCCTTTTCCAAGGCCTCCGGACGCCTTTGGCTGCTCGCTGCTGCATTTAGCGGCCCATGGCGGTCACTTGGAGGCCACTCGAAAGCTGCTGCAAAGGGGCTTCGACCCCAACGCCGCCGAGCACTCCAAGGATTGCAGCAACGCAGAGCAACGCAGCAATGCTTTTGGAAGCAACGACAAGCAGCTTGAAGAAGAGTTATCAGAGGAGACGCCGCTTCACATGGCGGCTCGTGCAGGGTGCCTGGGAACCACCAAACTGCTGCTCTCCTACCGAGCACTTTGGAAGCAAAATGCCTCTAGGTGAGAGCCGGAGTTCAGTTCAAGAGTACCAGGACCAAGAAGAAGGTAGTTTTGAAGCTTCGGGAAGAAAAGCTGAGGCCGAGCCCGCGGCTCGCAATTGCTTCGGCCCCTCAGCGATGTTCATCACTTCGATGCCTTAAGATGCTGCAATATGCTGCGTCTCGGCGAGGCAAGACACCACTGGCTGTCGCGATGCATTCCGACCCCACGCTGGCGGCTCTGCTGAGGGAAGCAGCCCATTCCACACCTGAATATCCCATACCGTAGACTCCGTAGACCGCTCCCAACGAGTTTGAATAGTGGCCGCTGTGGCGACACAGCGGCATTTCAGTCACTCGCGTCCTCGTGATGGCTAGCTGCGGCAAGTGTTACCAAAAGGTTCATGCTGTGATGGCAAATAAAGTCCTCAACTAGCTCTCACTGGTACAGGATCTGCGTGGGCTCAAGCAACGCTTGCGCCAGTGCAGGATCTCTTCCACGGCGGCCTCAGTATGTACAGAAGGGTGGTGTCTCCGCTCTTCATACTGGAGCATCGCGTGTGCTGCTTCCTGCCCTGCACATGTGGGAACCTCTGTCGCCCTGTTCCTTGTGCTATCTGCTGCTCTGATGTTTGGTTCTGGCTGTCTCTCTCTCTCTCTCTGTCTCTCTTCCCCTCTCTCTCTTCCCACCTCTCCCTCTTCCCAGTTTTGCCACGCTGCAGCCATGCGCTTTGATGCGAAGAAGAATAGTCTGCAGCTTCATCTCAGAGCGCATGGTCCGCATGGTGTTGGCTGACATGTTTCGGCATGGCAGCCTGGCTTAGAGAATTCGTTACAGTTCTCAGAAAGGCTTGGGGGGCGTACTGTCCCCCGAAAAGCCGGGAGCCCGAGGGAGCCCAAAGCCAGGGGCCCGCCACCCAAGGCATCCCAGGGCATCCCGAGGCAACGAGGCAAGGCTGAGATTTGCAAAGAAGAATGTGTCTTTCTTACTTTCTTTCCCTTTTAGTCCTGTACAGTTTCAAGCAGCTTCATTGAAAGGGGCAAAAAGAGACCCAAAGCGCAGTGTGAGAGATCCCGCAATGGCTCTGCACAGCAGTGCTTCGCATGCCTGAAAAAATTAGAGATCCTGCAGGCGGTGTTGGATGCATGTGCAATGCGGGCCGACTTGGAGGCAACTTGACACAGACAACCGTGGCAAGTCGCAGGCAAGCCCGCAATCTTTTACCAAGGTTTTGCCGCAAGGGGACCAGACTCTCATCGGAGACCGTGGCATTAACTTGTCAGGCAAAGCTGCAAAGCTGCTGAAAGCTCAGCTGGGCTAAGACAGCCGGTGACCAGCACCTTGCCAGGTGGGCAGAAGCAGCGTGTGGCATTGGCCCGCGCCGTCTATGCCAATCCGGACCGTTCTAACTGGGTCTCCTCAATTCAGCTGCCAAGACACGAGAGCAGTTGAGGACATCTACGTCCTGGATGAGCGGGTCTCAGCGTGTCATCACAATGGGTCTTGTTAGCCCACAGCCTTCAGGATGTGCTTTCGGCCCTGGACTCCCACGTGGCAAGCCACATATGTAGCAAGCTGCTTCGTGGACCGCTCTTAGTCCTTGCCTCAACCTCCAAGAGCCCTCTAGACCTGCTGTGGCCAACTTGGGGCACAGGCTGGTAAGACTGTAGTGCTGGTCACGCGCGGGGCCTTGCCATCAGGGATGCGACCATTTTCGAGAAGGAGACCACATCAGTCTGAGTCACTGAGTGAGTGTGCAGGCACTCTCCGAAGGCAGTCCCTCTAGCCAGCCGAGTCGTTTGCCTGGAGTCCAAGAAGGTGCTCCGCTCAAAGCGGCTCCGAGTTCCTACCTGGGCCTACCCCATTCAGAGATTTGACAGGTGTCCTTCAACGGAAGCTATGAGGCGGTGACATGCGGTGACTATGGCCTTGACATGCCTTGGCCTTTTGCACATGCTAGCTTGCGGAACGAAAGGACTTCAAAGGCTCTGGCGCCATGAGCGAGGAGGAGCCGGGGGGAAGCCAAAAGCGACTTCGAAACGAGTTTCAAGAGAAGTTTTCATGCGTGCTGAATTGCCTTCGAGGTGGTCCACGATGATGAAAACGAGTCTGAGGAAAAGGAGGAGAAGGATGAGACCAAGGAGAAAACTGTAGCCAAGGATACCAAGGAGAGCAAGGCTGAGAGCAACGTCGCCAAGAAGGATTCCAGTCCCAAGAAGGCCTTCAGCCCTTGCGCCTTCTTTGCAACCCTTTGCAACACCTTGCCTATCTTGTTTACTTCACAGCTTTGCAGGCTGCCGCGCCTACCCACGAGGAGCGGGACGTGGATCCAAGTTTCCTGGGCTTTGCTTTCATTTAAAGCCTAGGCAACACGTGAAAACGAGCTCCCGGCATTGTACTGTAAGCCCTGCCAACATCAGAAATCTACGCGCAGGTCCCGCAACCCCCAGCAAAAGGGATGTCAAACAAAAATCAAACAAGGATCAAGCATCAAACAAGGATCAATAAGAAATCAAGATATTCTGTTTCAGAGGAGATCAAAGAAAAATACTCCCACGTGAAGAAGTTAGGAAGGAAGGATCAACAATGATCAGCATATTCTGTTGAGAGGAAATGCAAGGGAAAATCCTGTCTCATGCAGGAAGCAAGGGAAAAGGAAGGAAGGAGATGGAAGGAAGGAAGGAAGGAAGGAAGGAGCACTGTCGACATGTAAAAAAGGTGGCCCTTTCCGGGTACGCAAAACAACAGGGGCCGTACCTGCATGTGCCCGGAGCCTCGGCTAGAGGCCGAAATCCTGGAGGCTGCGAACCCCCTGAAAACCCCTGTTGTAACCAAAAAGGTAGTTATGCAGATCTTTTTGTTTCCAAAAATTAAACAAAACGGGTCACCGTGAGCGCTTTTTCCGCATTTTCGAGCAAATTTAATATGTTTTTTCTAATGACTTGATGGAAAATTGCACTTGCACGGTCTCCCGATATACTAATGAGTAATTTTGCTATTTGAATTCGAAAAAAGAACGATAAAGAATGAAAAACCAAAACAAACACACACACACACACACAAAAAAAGGAGAGATAATTTTCAGAGACTCCTCCACGATGAGCCGGCAATTCGGAGACTCCCGAAAAGTATGTTTTCTTTTCTTTTAGTTGTTGTTGTTGTGTTTTTGTTCTTTGTTGTTTTTTGTTTTCGGCATCCCGTAAACCTTCGCCTTGGAAAACTCGGAAACATTCCACATTTTCTCGGAAAACCTAAATGCTGAACTCGGAAAGCTCGGAACCTTCGACACCTTCTCGGGAATTTACACGCTGCACTCAGAGATACGATTGTCACCGGAAGCCTTCGAAACAAATTTCGGACCGTGGTAGGCCGCAGCACACATCGAGAACTGTCTTTTACGAATATCTGAAATCAGGACTTCGTAGGCCTCTATTGTGCTGATCATTCTTGAATTTCTATGGGATCACAAGAAACACTTGCAAGAAACTGGAGCCTCCACTTCTCTCAAGTCAGTTATCTCTCTCTCTCTTGTATCTTTGTTGTAGAGAACTCTATTCCGTTCGTAGGAACAGAGGTTTGGTTCTACCCCTGGCCTAATCAGTGAGTTGTTAGTTGCTTTGGGCCTTGTAGAATCAGCTTTGTAGAATTATTGCACTCTCTCACAAAGGAAAATATTCCTAGGAAGTTCATTTGCTACGATGTGGGTGAGGGGCATTTTTTGACATGTTTCTTCTCCATAGCCTTAGTATCCAAAGAGTCTGAAAGTTAGTCTTTTGACTGAGGAATACTTTTGATATTGCATTGGGTTTCCAAAAATACAACATGTGTATCAATTGTAAGGAGGAGGTCTCAAATTCTTGGCCAAAACCCTTAACAGACTGGCTACAGATGTACAAGAAAATTCTCTGATTATGGGCTCCTCATATTTGCTTACAAGAAACACTTTCTTACATGCTTCACATTGAAAAGGACATCGTATGTCCTGAGCTTATTGTCCTCTGTTTGTATAATAAGTTGACTTTGGATAAACCCTTCGAATGTTGTGTCTCAAATTTTAGAACGGGATTCTCGAATCATTTATCATATAAATCCTTCACTACATGTGTTCTAAATTCTAAGCAGAAATTCCTAAATCCTGCGCGCCTCTTCGCCTTATGTTCTATAGATACATTCTACACGAAATGTACTTCAAACTGAAAGGGGAATTCTCAAGTCTTGGGCTCTTCCTTTTGCAGTATCTAAGTAATTTTGTTTATTCAGAAGCTTACATCTATTGGGGACCATGAAAATATTCGTAGTAAGAGGCTTAGATAAAAGCAAAAGAAGCCCAAGAATCCAGAACTTACATATACATCTACAGCACATTTTAATTTGGCAAGGAATGTATACATAGATGAATGAGAAGGCCAGGAGGGCAGGATTGTGGCAGTTATACGGGACATTCACAATCAGATGTGTTTTCCTAAACGAATGTGCACAGACATGTTAGGCCTGCTCCGGGGCATTAGTCTTGGCAACTTGTCAAAAATATGGGCCCGCGACAGGCCCATCTCTAGTAGTAATACTAATTGCTGCAGCATGGACGTGAAAGCTGTGTGCATTCTCCCGCAGCTATTTGAAAAGGAATTAACCCATGCAAGTAGGACCTTGTAATAGCAGGGTTTCTCCAACTCTAGAGGTAAAGTTAGCACGCTGTACAGTTCACATAGTAAGTGTGTACAGTTTGAGTTTCCAAAGTTACTTAGAGTACCGTGTTTGTTCTGGTGCGCGTGTAAAAAGAGTGTTCTGTCCGCTCGCTGTGCCGTCATTGTGAAAAGCAAGTGATGAGCCCAAGTCACGGGGCACGGCGTTTCTCCTGAAGTTCATAAGGGAGCCTAGTGATCAGGCGGCATGTCTAGTCAAGAGCCAGGAGTGGCTTCCAGTAGTCCACCAGGACTAGAGTCGACTGTTCAAGCCAAAAGTACGTCGGCTACTCAGTCTACAGCTAGAAACCCGAATCCCTCTGGTCGGCAAGAATGCAGGAGGAGTTTCGCCTTCAGGCGGCTCGACCTGGTTTCTTAAGTGATGAGACCGCTGATGAGCGTGCTGCAGAGCGAGCGGAAGTAGAACCTTGGAAAGTTCCAGTTCGAGATGATACATCTGTGGATGCTGCACATCTGCCCTATGATCTGGAACAGTCATGAAGTGCCATCAAGGCACACGGCTGGCGGCGATATGCTTCGGAGGACTACCAATATGGCGTTGCGGGAACCTGGTGATCAGACCGCAGTGCTAACCGCTCCAGACGCTAGTCGCGACTTGGCACATAGCATAGATGTTGCACAGGCTTCGCCAGACGGGGCCCTGCTTTTGAACCCTCCGGTCTGCAGAATGCAAGAACGCATCCAGCATGACACCTCAGACCTGCTGCAAACCCATAGACTAGTTAAACTAATCGGGTTCTTGAAATTTCTGCTCAAACCATTATGAAACGGGTTCCCATAATGAAAAGCGAATATCAAATAAAACGTGCGAAGAGCAACGCTAGAACCATGAGGCGGCAGAAGCCGACAGCGACTTCATAGCGGGGCTGATTTGGGTCAGCCAATCACTTGCAACACAGGGCGCTTATCCACTACAAGGATCTAACACTGGCAAGGGAGACGTGTGTTTACTCGCATCCTCCGGCTTTACTGTGTCTGAAGCTGCAGTCAAGGCCTTTCTTAGAATCCAGGCCATTCGTTGCGTCTTTGTTAGACGATGGAAGCAAGGGAGGAGGTTTTGGAGGAGTTACTGGTGGCGGGCCACGAGGCACCCTAGTTTCCATTAGAGTCTGTGGGCAGACCTAGCCACTGGTGGGAGACCTATCATCGCTAACTCTACCACTACCCCACTGCCTATTAGAACCCCTGTGAGTATTGACCCCACCCCCATGGTGCTGCACACCACTTCTTTCCGCCGACAACACTCTTTTTTTTTGGGCTATCAAGAACTCCGCGACTCCGCTCCTTAACTGGCCATTTACCTCTACAGCAATTGTTTGACTGTGCGTTGCGCCACTTGCCCGTAACCTGGACAAATGGGCTGGCAACGGTGGAGGAGGAGGGACAAAACTTGCTGAATCTTCAGCAACACTGGGGTAAGGACCTAAACCATAAGGTCCTACTTTGGGAAATCCCTGTGGTTGCCCAGTTAATGCTGAGGCTTTTGGATACCATTGGCTTGAACCACTACTGCCATCACACGGCGAGGGTGCAATAGGATAAGTTATCTCCAGGACAACGCACATTGAACTCAACCTTCCCGTGTGCCCTATATTTGCTGTCCTGATACACCTCCGTGTCCTAGTGTGGAACCCATATCAACGGCTGCGCCCTCCTTCCAATCCACTTGACCCGACCTAAGAACTAAAGCGGACCCGGACGACACTGGACCGAGGAGACCATGCTTTGGTTGACCACCCTTACTACGGCTAAGCTTAGGGTCTTCGAGACTTGGAAGGGCCGGTGTGCGCATCCGTTACCTCCAACTCTAGCCGTCCATTCCGAGCCGCAACTACAGCTGGCGAACTACCAATAAACAAAACTCCTGCAGCGGGTGAGACAAAACTGGGTCTTTGACCCTCAGCTCCACCTACTGCGTGACCGCCAGTCTGGGCCTGAGGCCCTAAAACTGATTGCACAAGCGCCGACCCGCCAGGCCTACTGCTATCTGCAGCATTTGCAGCGTCATCAACTCCTTCCAACGCAGTATGCGCCGAAATTACTGATGCTGGCCGTGACTTTTTCAGACTCGCAACTCGTTCCTGCAAAGCCTCATTCAGGTTCAACAACAACTGCAAAATAGCGCTTGCATCTCCCGGGATAGCTCCAGATTGGGCCATTTGAAGAACTGCCATCCTAACACCTGCTTGAGCATGAGGTAAGCCCACACCAGCGTTGTTAGCGCTTTCCAGTTGACCAACCGTCGCAGTTCTGGAAATGCGCCACTCAAGTCCTGTTCCAGTCCGTCCACTGACTCCGCATCGCCAGAAGCTAATCGAGACAAATTCATTGCAGCCGGAGCAGCGCCCACGCGTAGGCCATAAACTTGGCCTTCGGGCTGATCCAAGCGCAGGTCTTATAGCTGACTCCCTGCTTGATTGAGACCAGCCGTTGAAATCCTGTACGCCCTATAGATTTTTCCGTAGGGGTGGCTTCTGTGCTGTCTTTTCCATATCCGGAGCTGCCATCACTTCAGCAGCTGCAAGACTATGCGATCTCCAAATTTCCAGGGCTAGCTGACCCAGAGAGTTTCTTGTCAGGGTTGAGTACCATTGTATGGAAAAATGTGCTA